GTCAGTACCTTCGCAATTGCCATTTCACTCCAGACTCCCGTTTGTTTACTAAATTTTACCTTCTACCTTGTGTGAGGTGCCTGTCCCATAAAGTGGAGTTGCCAAAATCTCGAAGGACAAACAAGTACAAAAGTTACCATGCTCTCAACTTTTACCCTTTCTTTTTGCGATAAACAACAAACAATATAGTGACCTCAGGCAAGAACGAAGAGACAGAAGGCCAAACAAGCCAACAACGTGAGAAAAACTTACTACTATGTGTGATGCGGCGGACGCGACCATTCCTCTCAATAACTGTGAAGTGCGTATGCGTCAAGTATGCACGAGCCGAGCCTAAAGCGCCACACAAGGTCACGCGTTTCAGAAGAAAAGGCGGTGGGCACCGTTTATGCGTTCTCTCAGGCCGCTGCGTTGTGTCAGTTTGGCCACAGCCGCAGCCGCAGCCGCTGAAGAGTCCACTGGGGAACGGTCCCGAGCGGATAGACCCGGAAATTCGCGAAAAGTTACATATCGCACCAAGTTAAACTCATCCCGGTCGTATTTTTTACCCTACAATTTACACAATATTAACATACAATAGACATTTATTTTTAGACTTTTTCACATAATGCTTTGGTAAAATGTTTAGACCAATGACACCCACAAGTGGACCACCAGGGTGAAACCATAAAAACGGGGACGACCCGAGTCTCCGTTGCGTCCAAAGCGACACTTTTGACACCTGCTACTTCCTCCAGAAAACCCACCGGTCCGACTCGACACACACAACACCGAGTGAACAAAAACACCTTTTGACGACACTCTGTTTTCATCAAGGTTATTTATTATGCAAATGCTTATTCATTTTACTTGTCAGTTTTTCGTCTAAAAATTACTTGAAGTTTCTTGCATGGGCCGACGGCCACGTAAATCTGAAAACCAACCTAAACTACCCAACGAAAAGAAAAAATCTCCGTGCTTCCACCGAAACCAGAAGAGCACAGAACCAATCGAAAGACGAAAAAAACTAAACGACTAAAAGAAGTGACACTTAAGGAGGAGCAGACGAGAGTGCGACAAGGACTTCGAGAAGTAGTAGAGAGACTTACGACCTTTCCTAAAAAACCAATTATCAACAAATTTTTGACATTTAAGTTCATAATTCTTCTGCAACCCGCCGTCCCATTGTTGGACCACAGTCAAACCCAAATATAAAGAAAGTAGTAACAGTAGAAGTAGCCGTTCGCAAAAGAAGAGCGCGGGAGTCGCCGTCTGAAGAGACAGAGCTATCCTGGCGACTGAGGGAGAGACTACACTAATAGTAGGTCTCCAGATTTCTTTTTTATTTATTTCCGTAATTTGTAAGTATGGTGAATAGTTTGTTATAATGTAGCTTACATACAACCCTGTCGTACACCTTTAATTTACACGTTATTGTCTTTCTTTTCTTCCCTTTACCATGGGTTGTCCTGCGACGTCAGACCTCTTCCACGTTTCTACAGCCGAGTTACAAAAGTAGCCTGACCTTGAACTTGAACTGTAGACGGAATTCTCTATATTGGAAGTAAATTCAACTGCTGAGAGTTTTTATCTGGTTAACCTAAATAAAACAGTCTCGAAATAGTTGGAAATGACAACAGACTGACAAGAAAATAGGTAGACGTAATACTCGTTCCTGTTACATACCGACGAAGATCTAGGGCAAGTTCGTCCGAAGTGTAGATTACCAGAAGACACTTTTTGTCTTAATTGCAGTTCTTTCTAATATTACGTTTTACAAAAAGTCTAAACAAGAAGTTTATAGACATTTTATTGTTATGTTGACTAATTACATAAAAAAAATGAGAATGTAAACTTCTGAATAAGGGTTTTCCCCTTTTTTTCTTTTATTGTTACTGTGGTTTCAGTAGGGTTATTTTACAATGGCGAGACTTATACTCAACAATATTGATGTGTGATGACAAATAGGTGATCTCACCTCTTACAACGAAAATTAGGTTTCGTGTATGGACTCCACTTGATGCGTGTAATACACATACATCCGATACAACTGTCGGTTTAAAACTTAGGTTAATGTACTACGTTAGAAATATACCCTATTTGAACCCCATACGATTCGAGAGAGAGAGAAAGACTTAAACACCATAATTTTAATTGTTTCTGTAGTAATGCAATAGGTAAATTAAATTGAACATCCGACTTCACGTAAGTTACAATAAGTACGATTTGTTTGTCTGAATTAAATAAGTGGTTTAGAGTTTTCTTAAAGTTACAAAGAAGGGTAAGGCTATTATTATTCAGTAGAACAAAGGTGTAAAACAAGTGGTAATAATCAGAAATGACATGGACGAGTAAGCCCGAGACACACCTACCAATCAGCCTGAGGACTGACCTCTGAACGAGCTACTAAAGTACACGAGACAAAGTGGAGGAGGGAACCGGAAAAAGGACCCACCTCCGGGACTTCGTTTTTAGGAGGTAGACTAGTGTGTAATTCTGTCTTGGTAATCTATACAACCACCCTCTTCGTCTTGACTTCGGTTTATTTTGTAATGTACTACTACATTACTAACATTAACAAATTACGTTTTTACGACAAATGTCGGAGAGTTGGTCCTGTACAAGAATGAAGGTTTACTGAGTTGATCTAGATCTTTTAATACTACTAGCTAAGTAGTTATTACCTTTTGATACATAATCAAGTCCGGCAATATAAATGGAGAAAGTATAAAATGTCATACTCGTACATTAACGAGAAAAAGACATTCAACAACGTCCGTCATTTGGGTATTCTATTGATTTTGGAATAATTCACAACGAACCTACCAGACAGTTATACGATTTTGTTAAGTATGGGACGGTAGGGATGGCTAAACACGTCATCAGATGGCGAAAACTGTACAAAGATGGCGGATGGCTGATGACTGAAGGGATGGCTAAAGTTAGAAGGCATTTATACTGTTATTTGTCTACTCGTATATCTGAACAGCCAATCAGTGTTATCCCTTTGTCCGACTTCCGGTGGTGTTCCCGACGCCGATTGAACATGTTGAATCGGCAAGAAAAGGCGTCAGGTCGGCAGAAAAGACCCGACGGTGCTGCGCACACCACTCCGAATAGGGCGTGCCCACGCTCATGTTCGGCCCGACTCCCATTTACTGCCGATTTCGGGCCGGTGTATCTGGGCCTTAACATAACTGCAATATCAATCCACTGTAGGCGATACACTGACCATGGATAAGTACCTCGTATGACCTTTCTTTTAACAATCTGATCTATAAACCTTATTGAAGCTTAGTAGGTTTCTAGAGTAGGTTTAGATGAATGAAACGCTATTGTTACCTTTCTTCTCTCCCAGCTCAAGTTGGTAGAGGTCCTTCGTCTTCAAGTCCAGCAGTGAGGTCTCCGGGTCAGGGTCTGCGGCTCGGACTGTCCCGCCATGTTCGAGTCAAACCTCTTCACCCCAGCCTCACCACTCACTAACCTGTCAGATGTGTTGTAGTTTTAGCTTCATTTTTAAAAGACGCTTGTGAATACTCATTTCTGTTTGAAGATTACATGTAAAGTAAATATTTTCCCATGAGGCTTTGGTCAAAGATAGAACAGTCATAGACTCAGGCTCTGGTTGTTGGATGTCAATCTCTATCAGAACAGTAATTGTGTTGAATTACTTTTCACATTTCTTTGATGTATGTACGTTCAAGATAAACTGTTGTTGGTATGACGGGCAAGTTGAAATGATCCACTTTTTTGTCTCATAGCATTCTCCCCTTTTCTTATTGTGTGCAAACACTGTAAATTGTGTACATATACAAATAAAATTTAAAACAACTTTAACTTTTTGTTGCGGTTTTTCCATGAGCTGCAGTTGAGTTGGCTGCTTTACTGTATTCAAAATTTTTTTTTTAGCATGAATAAGATTTCAGACTGCTACAATTTAAACATTTGTCTCAGTTATTATGTACTGGCTAGGGAGGGGGAACTAAGGGAAAGATAACAAATGTTTGGATGATCTGGAATGCAGATTATGTTATGATGCTCTCCCCCCTAAATGCTGTCATTATGCTGAGCTAAGCTAATTGGTGACAGGGTAGCTTCATGTTTAAGAGACGAGAAGTGAATATTTACTCTAACTCTCTCCTAGAAAGGTAAAGAGTGCATTCTCTAAAATGTTTTTACTACTCAAGGAAACATCTAGAGCTTTGAATCTATTTTCAGCTTTAATCTAATCAAAACTGTTTTGACAAATAAGCTAAACGCCCAAGAGTTTAAATCAGGAGAGCAAAATAGAGCGAAATGAGGCATGGCTAAAATGCATGATCTGTTTGGTATTTTGAAAAAGAAAACATATAAATATACCTTATATAGGTATGGCCCTACAGTATATTATCCTGTCGAATATAGGATGATAGGTCTCTTTAAAAGTAAAACGTTATACTGATGAGCTGGGGTGGATATATGTTTTTGATCACCCTTTAAAAGACTTTTTTCATGGCGTATTTTTGCATAATAAATTGTGACTTTATTAGATATTTTAGATATGATATACTAAGATGTTTTGTGTGTGTATACTATTACTTTTTTCCATCTATACCTTTGTCTAAATTAGAATGTTTCTTCGTTGTATGTGATTTCAGCAGCGTTGTTCGTAGAGGGGGGGCCGAACACACATTTGGTAAACCATCTTTGTGCTAAAGTGGTACATTGTGGGGGCCTAGGCTGTTGGAGAGTG